AAGCTGGCCGCCAGGCAGGGGGAGCAGCGCGGGGCAGGGGGATGTAGCTCAGCGGTAGAGCGCATGCTTTGCATGTATGAGGTCCCGGGTTCAATCCCCGGCATCTCCACCAGCGCTCCGCTTCCTTTTCTTTCCCCATTGAACAACGGAAAATCGCACCGCGAGCGTGCTGCCCAAAAAGGCCCAGGGTGGCAGCCTCCCAGTAGGCACAAAATGGCTGCTCTTTTTGTCACTTGGTTCTCCTCGGGACTATGCAAACTCACAAGATTCTCACGTGTCTCCGGGTATTTTGTTGCCACACGAAGTCCCCGCAGACACAGGCCAGCCCAAAAGAAGGGAGGAAGCACCAAACCCTGAAACTCGGGGGCACGCAGCCCTGCTAACCCTGCCTGACACCTCTCTGCCCCAGAACCTCGCAGAGCTGGCTACGTGCAAACCCGCGGTGGGTACAGAGCGGGCTCGGTGTCTCTGCACCCCAGAGCCAGCGGAGAAGGCACGGTGGTGCGGGAGCTCCTCCCCAGCTTCGCAGTGCCCGCTCGCCTCTGCTGTCCCACGGCCTGCGGGCAGCCCCTCGGCAGCGTGACCAGGCATCGCTCGGAGCAGGTCAGGAAGAGCTCTCGGGAAACAAGCTCCTTGCTTTGATCTCCTGGGGTTGGCCCCAGTTCTGTCTCGCCTGGGAAGCTCTGCAGAGCTGGAAGGTATGGCACAGAGGGACCAAAGCCCATGCAGAGCTTGAAACAGCTTTTATGTACACAGTTCAGTTACAGTTGTTCTCTCTGCACTGTTCAGTTATCGGCGGCATAGCCAACTCTCTCTGGTAGGGAGAGCTGACTAGCGACAGATGTAGAATGACGTTTCCTGCCAGAGTGGTTAAAATGCTCCTTGTGCTATTTATTTACTCGTGTTAGTCCTAGTTGTTATTTTGAGCCAAACATTTGGCTACAGCACTGGTAAGTGTGAAGATCCCTGTTGTAAACAGCTCCCTGGGTAGGATCTCTCTGGGCAGCTGTACTGCTGGAGTATGCCCTGCACGCGACTGCAAGAGGCAGTTCCTGCCCGAGTCTGTGGTAACAGGCACGAAGTGACAGACTTTTTGGCACAGGAAATCAGTATTTGTCAGCATAATAGGTCATGGTCTGTTAGGCCCAACATCCTACTGTTCACCAGGCTTGTCTTGAAATTGTAGCAAGGGGTACTGGTAGAGATGGTGCTGGAGAAACGTGGAGTGGCTTTGTTCACAGAAAGCCCCTTCCAGCTCGGGAAAGCACTGTTCTGCAAACAAGCCAGACATGTTTAAGGACTGCTGGATTGGGGCCTAACATCTGCTTTGCAAACTCAGTATAATGCAAACCTGAACCGTTAGGGGTGTGCTGCTCCACCATTTCATCCAGGCATCAGGTACAAAGTCGCTCAGGATGCTCAGTGGTTGGCTGCCTACCCTAATTAGACAAAGAACAGCACTGTATCATCTTCATTTCTTGCTGTTACAAAACTCCATCTTGTCACAAAATATGTTGCCATGTGCCTTTTCGACTATTTTCAGACCAGTCCTGAGTGCTCACTCGGTACTTAAAAGAATACACTTAGAATTATTATTCACTTTCAGATGAGACAAGTCCTAAGTCTGAAAGGCTATTCCAATCTTTTGTGTTTACACAACTCCAAACGCACACAATATAAGCCACAGAGCACAATTCTAACCCGAGAAGAAACCAAAAGACTTCTGTGGATTTTTTTTCCCCAGCTAAACAACTTGGCTGTTTGAGATTATTCTTACTATGCTGAGTTTTCATACAAACACAAGGCAGCAGAGGCTGAGACACTCCCCAGAGCATTCCCCTCCTGCAAGAGCTCCATGTGTCGGGCAAATGCAGGCCAGTTTCCCTCAAACCAATCGCAAAGCTGTTGCTGGGCCTCCGCTCCCTTCCTACTGGTGTGCAGCCTGGGGTGTTATCTGTGTCTGTCTGGTAGGCAGCAGTTTTCCTTGGGCGCCAGCAAACGCAGGATTTTGTAGGCGGATTGAACCGAATGGCGTCTCATGAATCTTGCAAACAAAGCCCCATTTTGTTCTCAGCTATGCCCTTGAATTGCTCTGTATTTTGACTAGGATCGCACAGGAACCAAGTGCAACAGAGATCTACCAGAAGGTGCTTCGTAAGCAAGAACAGAATAAAAAACAGGCATTGTTATTATTTTTTCTATTTATGATTGATTTTACCCCAGCGGCAAGTCCTTAGTCCTGTGTTATAAACTCCATTACATCTCGGATGCATACTCCACTTTATGTGTGTGTATATACATACTCACTGATTATATCTCAGGCAGACAGAGTGTCTGCAGGACTCAGATCTCCTTGTCCATCAGGCCTTTTCCGTCCCTCACATCACCTCTCCCCTCTCCAGGCTGCCTGACCTCCATCCCCTGGCAGGAATCTCCTGCAGCCTCCCTGCCCTGCTGCCGGCTCTTCAGGCTGCTCCGGCCTCAGGCCCCAGCAGGCATCCTGCCATCATTACGGCAGCTGGGCTCCAGCTTGTTTACCCCTCAGCCTTGCTCCACAGGCCATGGTGGCAGAGAGGGCCTGGTGCAAGCCTGCCCATGGGCTTCACCCGCACCGCCCCAGCGGGCTTGTGCCTGCTCACACCCGGCCCGCTGCTGGGGGCAGACCACACTCCCCCGCCGCTTCTCTCCCTCTCCCATGCTGAAACACATCGGAGCCTTCTTCAGTAGACGTACATGTCTTCCTTGGGACTAAACCAATGCTCCCTCACCCTGCAGGCGCCTCAGTGCCTGCCTCCTGGCAAGGCCCGTGGGCAGAGCTGCCCCTCACCCTGCCCACGGAAGAAAATCAAGGAGGCGCTTCTGAAACAGGGACGCAACTGTAGGGGCTTAAATCCGTGAAATAAAAACGTAAGGCTCTGACAAGAAGCTTTAGACACAGGGGCATCTTCAAAGTCCAGACAGCTCAGCTCGCTGGGGCACCATACGCCCGCTCCGCTCCGTCGGCTCCATGCCAGGTTTTTCTCTGCGCTCCTTTGCTCACTCACTGCCGCCCCCCCACCCGCCGCTCCGAGACCCATCACCTCCCAAGGCGCTGACTCCTCCGCGCTGCCGGGCCCCGCTTCCTTCTATC